CGCACTGATCAATCCAGTTCACTAATTCCCTTTCATAAGGAGAAAAAAAAAAAAAGAAAAAAAAAAAAACAAAACCCATGCTGCATTCTAAAAAAAAATAAAAAAAAAAAACCAACACAAAAAAACCCCCACCAAAACACAAACTGTGCCTGTTCCTCAAAACAGCTCTGAGCAGACAAATGTTACCACTTGCTAAGAATAATTAACTTGACTGAATACTGAATAGAGGCAGACCTCAGCTTGAATCAAGGGATTAAAGCACTGAGGGGAAAACGAGTCACGAGCACAGATGTTGTCTCATCCACTCTGAACAGTACCTCTAATGGACATCATTCAGCCTCTATATCTTGCTGGGCAATATCGTTTTTTTTGACAAGTTTGCATCCTTGCAAACACATGAATAATGCTGCTGAGGAAAGAGGTTGAAAACATGCTGGAGCTAGTCCTTTTCTTTTTTTTAACTTTTTATTTGGTTTATGCAAAACAAGCAGGTTTGATAAACCCACCTCAGAGACCTAGAGTCTAAATATAAGAAAGCCAGTTCAGGGTGCAAATAGAGAATGTAATGCCTGCTCAGGCTCGGATACTGTATATCTATAACAACCACCATCTTACCAGTCCAAAGTACTGAAGAGTCCTCCTTTTAGGAAGGGATTGCATGTGAACTTGAAAAAACATTGGAGCTATTGCTCAATGGTATTTCTTGGTCACACAGACTGGTGGATCCTGCTTTAGCACAAAGTACTTTTCAGACTACACCATGAAGTCCAAACGCAGCTATTATAAATGTAGTATCAGGCTTGAAATCTGGCTGGCCATCAACCCTCCTCCATTTGCCAACCATAATTAGTTTACCTTCTTCGCAACTTTCAAGTCACTTGAACTACTTTTCTGCCTTATGTTTTCAATTTTACAGTCTCAGGGATGGGCTTCCTAATTATGTGAACATTCTTTTAAAGACTAGGAAAAAGTTAATTAACTAACAAATAACACAAGAGTTATAAAATCTTTCCAGAAGAGACATTAAGGCAAAGAACCATGATACAATCCTGAAGAAGTCAAGTGTATCAAACAGCCAGTTCAGCCACAGATGACTATGCAGAGATACTCTCTGCTATCTCTTCCACACCCATCCTTACCTCTTTCTTCCTGAAAGGAAAAGGAAAGGTCCAAGTGGCACTGAAATAAGACCTGAGGAAGGACCAAATTGCCACACTTGGAACATTTCCTGATTTATTATAATACTCCTGTCTATGTCTCCTCCAGATGAAGATATGAGTAGCTTAAGAGGGCAAAGCTGCTACTTCTGGCATATTTGTGGAGCCTAAGAGATAAAGAGTAAGAAATATGCCTGCCAAATGAAGTGGAAAGTGTGATTTACTTCCAGCTTCCCTTGCCAAGGCCTGTCTCTCAAATATCAGTTGAATTTATCCGAAGCACTGGTGTACACATCTCCAGTCGGATATGTCATTTATTTCTTCCAAAGACAGGAACCCAGGAAGTGTTTTCACCTCTTTGTAGATTTATTAAGTTCTACTGGATTTAGACTTAGCTTAAAGTCTCACCCCGTTTCTTTCCTGTCTGCCCCCCTATGTGGGTCACAGATTTAAGAATACTTCAGTGCACTGTGCTTACCTGCAGAAACCAGAACTCTGTACAAAAAGAGCATTTAAACACAAGTAATGGACACCCTCAACAGAAGTGATGTTGTTAGCAGAACCATTGTTCTTATAGTAATTCTATTTCACTCACCACCTGCGAGACCTCCATTATGTATCTGGCCAGAGTTTCTTCATCCAAAGTGTCTTCTTAATTCACCACTCTATTGAAACCTTGGTATCTCAAGTGCAAGAAGCCCCTACCCACTGCATGCAATTTATGTTTTCAATCCATTCCCCCTTCCCTCTCACCTAACATCCTGCCCTTCAGAGTACGGTGCAATCTTCATGCACACTCACCTAACTTCTAACCAACTTGTTTTTGTGAGATCACAACTTATGGCCTCCACATGTTCCTAAATACCTGCATACTTCTTTCAAACAAACCAAGATGAGGGTGTTTTTACAGTCAGTCCTCTCTCTGTTAGAAATATCTGGGCGGTCTGGCTCAAGTTTTCACCTCCCCGAAAAAACATTCATAAATCATTCCCATGTCAGATGGGCAAATGAATAAGCCCATTTTCAGATACCGTTTTCCACTTGTGACTCTCTATAGTGCTTTACAAAGGAGGAACAGGTATTTATCTCATTTAACGAATGATGGAGACATACATTCAGTCAATAGCAACCTTAGTAATGACTCCTACAGATGACTGGGAACTCTGTTCACTAACACTACTGGTGTGAGATCTCAATTTCATACCTAATAATTTTCATGGGAGGAAAAGCTACACAAGGATTATCTGGTTCTTCACAAAAGAAGTTTTAACTAACATAAGAAAACCATTTTACATACCTCTTTATTGGGTAACAAGTATGCTATTTAACAGGCTACCCAAGCCTCAGCAAGTTTGGCCAACAAGTCTTTGTTAATTACTATAGATTTCTTTTCTCTAAATAAGCAACAAACTGTGTCCAGAAATAGAGAAATCGAAATAGAACAATTAGGATATAATATCAGCACCTTTTGTTTTGACGTTTCTTTGGGGATTTTGGTTTTTGTGGTGTTTTGGGGGTTGTATCTGAGACCACACACACCCCTTGGTTAGTTGTTTTGTTGGAGTTTTGTCTGGGTTTTTTTGGTTTGGTGGAGTTTAGGGGGGCTGTGTGTGTGGAGATTACACCACCATTCACTTTTTCTTTTTTTCCTGTGGTCCTAACCTAATTGTGAGAGATCTGTGTTAGAAAAAAAGGTGACCCTCACTCTAGCAGAAAAAGACACAACAGTTTCTAATGGCTGGCAAGTTAAGCTGGGCACATTTACATTAGAAATAGTCTTTTTAAAAGTACTGAAGACAGCAATTAACTGCTGGAACAGCTTACTAAGGATGGCAATGGCTATCTCCATCACTGGAAACTAACAGCTAAAGCTGCTTGTTATGAAGTAGTAATTACATTAATGGAATTTCTATGGTTGTCTTTACAAGTAAATTAACATAGATTATCTGAATTTATTTATCTCCAGAATGGGATATAAATCTCCAGAGTTTATTGACCTCCTTTAAAGGCCAGTAAAGCTATACTTCCATTAATTTATCCTATATATTGAAAGCTCTTACCAAACTTAAAAATGCATGTCCAGTTTTCATCTTTGTAGGATAAGGTCACTGAAAGCACATACAAAACTGTAAAAATTTGACAGGGGGAGGAAAACAGTTCAGACAATGCATCTGTTCTGAGATGTTTCAAATAAGTTTATTAAACAATCATGTTTTACATGTCATCAGACCTAACCCCTGAAGTGCAAAAATGTTTCTGAGGTATTAAGACTGAAGGAAAACAGGCACAGTGTTGGTTGTAAAGGATACCACAGCACAGTGGACTTTGTGAACAACAGGCCTTTATCCAGCATTTGCAGGATCAGAGAAAATTGAGAACATGTTTGCATTTGTCCTTAGTCTGGAGAGACAAAAAGCCCTGATTCTTAGCCAGTTGCATCACATCAGTGAAAGTACAGATATGGTTAACACAGAATGATGATAAACATCAATGAGGTGTTTCTAGGCAAATACGTACAGTACATGAAAAATGAAATTTAACTGCTGAACGTGTGGCCAAAATCCCAATCATCTATCCAGTCCAGTTTAACATATGTTGTGTCTACAGTGACCTCTAGTACCAGCATTTTTGTCTATTCTATATAGAACTGACTGCCCTATGCTCCTGTTTGAGGACACCTGGTCACTCTCACTCACTTCAGTTAAGTGTGATGTTTATCAGATTAATTAGAGTCAATAGTACAGTACTGCTTGTGACCTGTTATCCCTCTAATTGCCCTCTTCCCCTCATCCATGCAGTGAATAAGTCTAATCCATGCAGGAAATCTGCCAAAGAAATAAGCATTGGTTTACAACCCTACATGTAGAAAGGAAAGCCTTGTCCAAAAACTGCAAGGCTCATGGGGCAAAAGTGGCCCTTACGGACTAGGATATTGAGACTTTTTCTCAACTGCCAAGTTGTGCTCCAAAAATAGTTTTGTATGAGGAAAGTTCAGGCATTACTTGTCTGTATTATCTTGCCTGTTCAAGGAATCGGGCAAAGGAAGGAATACTTTTCACCTTGGAGCAGTTCCTGGGTTAGAATTTGACTGAAGACTGAAATTCTGTGCAGAATTAACTTGCTGCTAAACATTAGATTTAATGTCCTCACTGATTCTCTCTCAATGATTTTGCTGTGAAAGCAGCATTGTTTCCTGGGACCAACTGCAATTTGCCTTAAACTATGTGACTTAAAGATACTCAACCAAATTACGCACTTCACATGATATCATCACAATTCAGTGGAAGATACATCTAAGAAAACATTTCCAAATGAACAGTAAGCAAAAATTACTTATTCTAAGTCTCTCTCGAGATATTTTTACCCAAGATAGATAGAATAAAACGAAGACCTCCTGAGACACAAACGTATTTTCAAATCTGCGAAAAATACCATGACAACATAGAAGTGATCCTTTTAGTAGGTGTGTATGAATTTATGAATGTTTCTGAATGTGTCAGGTTTAGTGTGAGCATGGCAGGTTTGGAAAGGTTCTCACCTTGAGTATTTTCAGCTTTGAGACCTCACTGGGAAGCTGGAGACACAAACTCTGTTGTCAGCACACCCATGGGCATGATGTTATACAGTCTGATCACAAACACAATTGAGATTCTCATAGTTTTCTAGCATTGTTACCAATATCATTGCTGCTTACCTACACAACATCATCTAGCAAAATAAAGACTAGCTGGAATAGAAGCTGGATACAGCTGGAGCATTGCCTTAATATTATTTTTTAATGGAATCATATTTCATGGACAAGAAAGGCAGCCCCAAAGGAAAAGTGCAAGTAAATCATCAGTTTCAGTTGAAAATTGGGTTTTGGACGCCAGTCAAGACTGAACTGCTGGGCCACTTTCTGTGCAGAAGAGTGAGAGAACATACAAAAAAGAAAATGCTTGTGATTCCTAGGATGACAATGCCTGAAATCAGTGCAGTGGTGATTGAGTTCAGCTGGAAAGGAGGTCCATCTGGATGATCTGCAAGGAGAAGAAAAAGGCACCGGTAAGATCTGCTTACAATCTCTCAGCAGTACCAAGCACTTCTGTCTCTCCTTTACAACACCCTATATACAGAATAATTACAATGGAGGGACTCAAACTGTACTTCAGAATGAGCACCTGTCTACTCGGATAAAGCTTATCTACACATACATTGAAAACAGTTATTAGTTCTTTCAATATCCATGATACTGAGGGATAAAGAGAGTAAGGATACTTATAAAACATAATCCCTCATACGCTAGTGACTGACCTTGATCTGTGCTATTTAAGGCAAGACTATTGGTGTCCAAGAACTATCAAGGCAGAGGTATAAGGATTTGTGGCCTAATCAAGTTAATAAAAGGGTTTCTTCCCTGATTATCAGTATTCACATCTCAATTCAAAGTGTATATAAACCCTTAGCAAGCATATCTAGCACCATATATCTGAGATACTTCAAGTTTATCTGTATACTTTCACAAAAGGCTTCTAAACACATTTATCAATTCTCTGAAGAGCTAACATATTTGCTATTTAGCTTAGCTCAACAGGCTATGAACCAATCCCTGCTACTGGAACACACACATTCAGTCTGTATCATCTTTTCCAGCAGGAGGGGAAAAACATACCAACATTTGAGTGGTAGATGCTACCCAAAGCACCAATGTGCATTTGCCTAAGAGCTGTGTCTGCCATTACCGGTGATGGAGAGTGAAATGAAACAAAAACACAGCTTCTCAACGGGAAACCAGACTGCTTCTCCCAGAAACAGCCACCTCCCCTCAACATCATCAAGGATGATGGCAAGGCAAGGTAGCAGCCATTAACACAGCAAGCTGTGTGCAGCAAATGAAGAATTTGGGGTTTATTACTTTAATGATATCCGTGGGTAGGAACACACCATGCTCATTATAGGGAGAACTTTGTTTCTATGCCAGGAAAGAGAGGTAGCCGGTCAAAGTTGAGAAAAGAAGGGAATGAATAGTATTGGAGTTCAAAGGACAGGATAGGTTGCTAGTGCCACTCAGTCCTATTATGAACAAGTGAAACGTGGAATGGCCCAATGGACCACCTGGTTACCTTGACTCTCTTTTCCTAGTCATCAGCTACTCCTTTATTACCAGCAGAGAGCAGTAATAGGCTGAAACAAGTCCTCCAAGTGCCCAAAGCAAAAGCAGCCTAAAACCTTAAAGACCTGATCTCTCCTACAGCCTATTTCCTTCATTGCCCTAGCAGACCACAAGTTGCAATCAACCTTCTCCATATGCTCTTTGTGTAGTTAAATGCTAGGAAAACAGGAGCGGAAGCAGAGCTTTTCTGACTTTGAGCTCTGAACTGAGCTGGACTGCACCATAATAACCAGTTTCCTGCTCTACTCCTGCAAGACATGAGCAAATTTTACTGTTTAAGTCTGACTTTCCATCTGGCAGTTCAATGTTCCCTCACCCTCATATGTCATAGCTGCAGATTTTCATTTCAATTCCATCATAAGAATTACAAATTTCTATGCTGGTGGGGCTGGGTACACAAATTAACCTGAGCATTGAAGATTCACCAATTGATCTTTTTACAGCATGTCAGTATTGACTCTTTTAACTGATCAAAAAAACCAAAAAAAAAGGCAAAAAGAAAAACATTCCAGCTGAGTGCATAGAGCTCAATCAAAATGGTTCATCTCCTCAGTTCGGTTTCACTCGTAAACCCTCTTTCATGTTTCTTGAAGTCTGGTTAACTTACCAAATTGTGAATTGTTGGTTGGCATCTCATCTATAGAAAACAAAAACAAAATATATTTTACAAATACCTCTGCCTAGGGTTCACCTCCTTGCAACACAAAAGCCAATAGTCCTAGCTTTATTTTCAAAACACATCAGCTATACTTGCAACACTAACTAGTAGCTTTTAGCACCTCTGGTAGAATAAGGACACCACCATGAAATTGCTTCGTTTGTAATGTGAGCACACCCATGTGAAGTTACTTAATAGTCAGTGGATGGAAAAAAACCCCAAAATGACAACCACCAAAAACAAAACCAAAAACAAAAAACAAAAAACAAAAAAACAAAAAACAAAAAACAAAACCAAAAAAAAACAAACAAAAAAAAACCCCACACAAAACCCCATAAAAAACAACCAAAAAACGCCACAAAAAAAACACCAAAAAAACACACACACAAAAAGAAAACTCACAAAAAAAAACAAAAAAAAGGAAAAAAAAAAAAACCCAGAAAACAAAAACCCCACCTTAATGCAGCAACCTCTTAATTGAAAAGGTGACCAGTTTTATTTTGCCCCTCAGTAGAAATACAGCCATAAGCAAAATATTACACTCGCTGTTAAAATCAGATTACATGATGATGATTACAGAAATGCCCTTTCCCCATTCTCCTTTTTCTCTTGACAGTTACACAGCAACATCATATTGAGGGAAACATCTATATCTTGTCTTCAGTGTTTACTTACTTACCATTGTCCATCTCAGAATTACATTTCTTGTCACTTTTTGCTTTTTTGTGCAACTTGTAAGCAAACTCACATATACATTTGTTTTGAGCAGCTGCCTTAAAAGTTTAAGCGAGACATCCATCAAAAGCTACACAATTTCACCTTCACAAGTAGCTACCCACTTCGTTTTTATACACAGACCCCGAAACATTTTTTGCTGTGTACGTCTCCTGTAAGGACTTATTTTAGATTTAAAAACAAAAATACAGTTTCTCTGAAAAGAACAAAATATTAGAAATAAGAGTTCAGAAATACACAGGAGGACTGTGTATATACACAATACATCTGCATATATGTGTATATACACAATACATCTGCAGCAGCACTATTCAGTTCCTATCCAAGTAATTGTGTGAACAACTCTGCTACCAGAACAACTGGTGACTAGTAATGGCAAGACCTGGCTAACTCGAGGTGCCTCTGCAAACACTGGTGTGCATGGGACCAGCCCCAGACAGATGCAGCACCGACCTATGAGGGAAGTGAAGAGTCCATGCAACTGCAGACTTAACACTGGCACACACGTACCATGGTGAGTCAGGTACAGCAACTTTGATGGGCTCTGTACAGATGTATCTGTACTAAAGTTGGACCAGAGCTGGCCTCGAAAATAGCGTAAGCATCTCCCTGTAGCACTGCACCAGAGTGAGCCAGCACTCTACATCCAAAATCAGATCATTCTGTTCAAGTTCTCTCATGACCTTTCCCCTTTTCTTTTCTTGACTATAGTATTCATGAACCTCACATTTTTAATGTGCTTGTTTTCACAATGGGAAGGGACAACAGGAGGAAATACTTATTCCCTCTTTCTTCTCCAGAAGGAAAAGTGAAGTGCAAGTCAGATTAAGGGACTTGCACAATACCACTCAGGAAATTTGTGATAGAGTTCAGAACTGAATCCTGTTTTTTAAAGAATACTTCCCATCAAACCATCCTCCTGACAGCAGGAGTGGGATGCTCCGAAAGAGTAATTATGGAGATGCAGAAATATGTTTAACTTAAAAAGCTTTAGCCACATACCTCAAGTAGATGACACCTAAAAAAAAAAATTATTTTCCTTTTCCAGCCTTATGCATGTTTTCATTTAAAACACCTCAACAGTTGTCATGAAATTATAAAATCATTTACCCTTTCTTTGGGGTCATTAAAGAGCCGCAGACAGATTTTTGCTTGAAGTTACACAGTATTTAAAGGTAATTGATAAACACCCTTTTTTTTCATTTGTAAAAATAGAGTTCACAGCCTTTGAATCATAAGCTATATTACCTATTGCTCATATAACAAGCTTTATCTAGTTTCCATTCCTTGCCCAAGGCAACATTTTCCTAGCATACATGTTTGAGCAAATCTGTCATTCATTTCCCGTAAGTACTCATGCATGCAACTTTGGAGTTAGTTCTTTTCACTTTCTTTCAACTAATCAGATGGCAGCAACGCAATTGGGACTATGTATAACGCAGAAAAAAAACCCCACTTATTTTCATTGCAGAAATGTTGCTTATAACAAAGGGTATTTGTTTTAAAAATGGTCTTTTGCAAAGATAGTTCTGTATTCTGAAAGGTCAGTTGTTCTCTTTGTATATGTTTCTCAAGTGTTTAAATTATTTCTATCTAATTATTTCACATGGAATTCAGTCCTGCTTTCAGCTTCCTGAATCTAAGACAGATGAAATCAGTTGCTTGACTGCAAGTACTTATAAATATCTGTAAACAGAATTTCTTCAACTTTTTCAAATATTTAATTATTTTGTCAACAGCAGTCTCGAATGCTTTTCAGAGACTGCAGGTTGCATTTAAAGCTATGTTTTCTGAAGCAAACAGTGCTTTGGCGACAAAAATGGAAGTCATGGGATTTAAAAGAGTATATTTTGGCTCACTCCATTTAGAATTTACAATGTGTTTGCTCTATTTCTTCCTTATAGCTGAAGGCAAAACATAGCATGTATTAATTTTATGCAACACTCAGAGGTGAAGCTGGAAAAAATGGTGAATACAAAGTGACAGTGAATACTCATTAGCTGTCCAAATTAAATTGCAACACTAAACACAGTACCTTAAATTCCATTATCGTCAGTGAAATCTGACAAAAAAAGAGCCATCAACTCACTGAGTTTGGGCTTTTATAATGGCCTTATGTGCATAACAGTGTCCCACAGTGATTTTACTGTGGTAAAGGAAGCATGTGAGAGACGAACAGAAATATTAGCTCAAATTTTCTACCAAAGACTCCAACAGTAAGGAAAAAAAAATAATGCAGCAATCTCATGGACAATCCACCCTTTCCCTAAGTCACTGAAAATTTGTATTAAACTGCAAAATATTTCTCCAGGTTTCTGGAATTTCTGCAGTCTATAGGAAAATTTTGTTCATTCCTACCACTCCTCGTAATGATGGGGCCAGCAGTGATTACAGCATTGCCAGAGGTGCTCTGAGGGCTCCAAGTTGTCCTCCCACCAGCGTCTCTTCTTTCTCTGTTACTGCAAATCTGAGCGGTTAATCAAAACAATCAGTTTCAGAGTGGTATGGAATAACTGCCCTTCTGTGCTTCCTGCTTTAATGTAAATTTTTTTATAAGCAATACTACAACTATGATTTTATTTCTTAGCATGCATTAAATTACTTTGCAATACAAAACAGCTATGATATTCCCTGGAAGTGTATCTTATAAATGCCTCGCTTCCTGTTGAATTTTGCCTTACTTCATTTACAGAGCTACATTGCTGTTGTACACAAGATTGATCTTATAGTATATTAAATTTTCAGGAGTTAATTTCTCAAAGCTTTGTTTACAGACAGTTTCTCCAACAAACATGTTTTGCTTGACTAGGGATAGACAATATGCTAAAATCCTTATCCCAGCAAGTTTCTTGAGTTAAAGTTTGCAGATTTTCCATAGAGTTCTAAGTAGCAATGACTCATATTAAAATAATCCCCAACATTCTGCCATCTGGAACCCACTTTTACCATCTCTAACTTATCTAGGGTATTGAAGTATGCTTCAACCAAGAGCATTTCTTTAATTTCAACTTCTTGTGAAAGAACTCAGCACATCAATTCAATAGAAACAATTATTTTAAAGTGCAACATAAACGTATGAAACATTGTACAAAATGTCAGAAGTATACTGAACCGATAGTATTTTAAAATTCTAAATGAGAAGTCATTCAGTAGGAAACGATACGGCATTCTGAAGACGTCATAGTATATTCCTAGTTTATATGTTTATTTAGATGTTTCAGTTTCCAAAATATATTTATTGTTCCTGATGCTCCTAAAGTGAAATAATATTTAATTGACACAACTTCATGAACTTCAACAAAACAGCAGTTTCCAATACTATAGGGAATGTAATTTTTTCCCCCCTCTATCAGAAACTTTAATTTTTCCTTGACAGTGTAATGGCACTTTACTACAGGTTTAAGTTTTCCGTAAGTTCCATTCTAAGATATTTCTATTCATCCACTGTAATTGTGAATATTTTGTTTCTTAGATGCTACACTAAGAATATCAGCTCTGAAGCTATCTCAGAGGTTTTAGCTTTTACAAATGAATTAAGGACCAAAAGGCAAACAGGTCATTTCTCATGTGTTCAACAACCTGCAATTTGCACATCTAGTATTATTCTATGTCTGGATGACAATATTCACTGCCCTATTCGTCAGTTGTTTTACATGTCTTCAGAGACAAAAAAAACCCATTCTTCAGACTCTACAAGTCACCTTCATTCTATGCCATCCGAACTTCCATAGAATTTGTATGCAGAATAACTCCAGTGTGCCTAGTTTATATTCAGATAATTAACAGCAGCTTCCGTCCACTGAAACTTACTGGCACAAGAAAGGGACAGTCATCTGTTCTGCACAGCTTTGTCACGCAGTGAAGGAAGACCGTAGACATCTTCTGGTTCTTGTGCTTCACAAAGCGAAACACCTCAAAGGAAAACCGGCCCATTTGGCTCTTGCCATTTTCAATTATAGTTGTCTGTGGGTCCTTGTCACAGCTAGTTTTTGTAGAGAAGATTAAAACTAGGATGAGCAGCTGCATTAGCATTTTGAAGCTCTTAACGGAGAATAAGGTAACTTAAGCAACAAGTTCAGCTTGTTGCTGAACTTCAGCTTCAGCTCCTCGGAAAAGAACACAACACCCTAATGTGAAACATGGGAAGCCACGATCTGCCTGTTAGGCTGCACAGTTCTGTGCTGAAAAGCATTTCTACGAAAACAGTATGTTTTGTTTTGCAACACCACAGCTATAACCAAGGTACTATTTAATTCAAGGGCCCAGAGAAACTTGAGACCTGAAACAAAACATAATCAGGTATGCTAACCAGTGTAGACAGGCAACTCCAAACGAAGACAGTATCTCTCTAGCAATTGTCACTGCTAAGATTTAATCTGAGATACACCAAGATGTTTGTCAAAGTTCCAATTCAAATAAATGTTATTGCTAGGAGCAGAGGCAGGAGCACCTATTTATCTTTAATCATTTGCTTAACTGCTTTCCTGAACTGGAGTCTGTGATGTTTTACATCACTGTTATTCGCCACAATGGTACTTTTAGTAAAATAAAGGACAGTTTAGCTATTCAATTTGTGTGTTTATGGTATCTCTAGTAGAACCATTTTGAATATATGCTTTTCTACCTTCATAATTCTTACGACTTTGCACTTGCTTCTATGTTTATGTTCATAAACCAGGTAAGTCCTGACATGTTACCTGTAAGCCTAGCCCTTGGTCCTCCCTGCTAATATTGCTTAGACTTTCCAGGCAGTTTAGAACACTGTTATTGGAGAGATTTATAACTGTATTTTAAAGGAAAAACCCAGAAAATAGTGGGTGTGCACAGGACCTACCTGAAAAAAAGATCATATCGAACATCATCGCTAGGATTACCAGATGGTGTGGTGTAACAGTAGTCCATTAAAACATTCCACCTGCACAGGAAGCAAAGTGATAGATGAGGTGAACTGGCAGCATAAGAGTAGGGGTGGAGACCGAATGAGATAAGATTAAAAGACAGTAAGGCAAGCATACAAACTGATAATGCAGGCTGTAACACTGAAGCTGAGCCACTGTGCTTAACAGGTCACATACAAGTGATCCTGCATTCCAAATATATAACCTGTTTCTTCCCACTGCTTAAAAAACTAAACAGCACAGTATAGCAGCAGAATTGTATAAATCAAGTCATTTGGTTTCATGCAAGTCATCTGTCATACCAACACAGGTTGTATACTTCCTCTCAGAAGTCATGGCTGCATAGGACTAGAAATCAAAACCATCCCACTTTTAAAAGCCCTAGAGTTTCTCACTTGATCGAGGCCATTTCTTAAATAAGAGCAATATAGGATTTAAAGTATAATTCAGGAGAACTTTCATCATGAGGACAGCAGCAAGATAGTCATTCAATTCATCAGCAAGGACCTGATACCCCAGAGCTGAGGGCAGTGATTACCAAACACCAACCAGTATTTTGACATACAATAGGCTATGAGGAAAGACAGTTGCTTCTAAATCAGAAAAATTTGCAACGCCAAGAGCAACATCGCAAGCAAGACAAGAAATAACATCCTTCATGGTACCTGCCATCAAGGTTGGTTGCTCTTACAGCTGCATATATTTTGGTTTTCAAAGGTAAACCTGTACTTGGAATAAGGAGCTGCTGGCTGTAGGTTGAATCCTGAAAAACAAACATTGCCTCAGTGTACCAGAAATCCCACTGTAACAACCCACCTGCAGCTACCAACTGAACTACCATCTAATTTTTCTGACTTTTCTATGTGGGACAGACATTTACTTGGTCCTCCATAAGGGAAGAAGTAAAAAGCAGTGCCAAAGCATTTGGCTACAAGTTTGTAAAGATGAACAACACTTAACTGGCCTTATCCTATGCAACTATTTTAGGCAATCTGCTTATGATTTTATGAAGTGGTTGAATTAGTGATTAAAGAAAATATATCAATCATTAACATTTCATTAAGCCTCCCAGCACCTACAGGCAAACATAGCAGCTACTGTAGTTTTCTAAAGGAGGAGCTTGACTAGGTTGTCACAGTGCCCCAGGAGGTAGCAATGCCATCAGGTTTTATATATCTTAAACTGTAGTCTGGGAAAACAGACACATTCTATCGTGCGAAGTGTAGTTTTGGTGGAGTTGGCTTGCTGAAAACTACAAGTAAACATTTTCATTTAAATTCCAGTATTTTAAAAAACTATTTCAAGAAAGCTGTATATAACATAAAAGTTGCGAATTCCTCATATACTGCTACAGAGATATAGCTGTTTTACTGATTTCTTGTTCAAAGGCTGAACCATTAATGTCAGCACAGCAACAAAGCTACAAAGCATATCTGAGTGACAGATGTTAATTCAGCATATCAAAATGCACTTATTGGTAACATCACCTACGTCAAATTGGTTGCTAACCCAGAAAGCACAGGGACTCAGCACGTTGAGCCGTGTCAGAAGTCAAAACACTCAATACACACAAAAAGTTTAATTATAAGCAGAATTTTGACCAGGTTCAGTGTGGCAGGCAAGACCAAGACCAGCAGCTGACAGCAACAAGAAGGATTAAGCACAAAAATCACCTATGCTTTCCAAAGAGAACAATGCCAAAATTCACAGCACGCCCAGTATGAAATCTCTGCAGCATCAGGACCCTCGGGAAGTATAAATGCACACAGAGACCAGCTCTATGTCATACACAAGCAAGTCCTTGACAAACCATTCAAGTAAGTTCAGGTAAGTTTCCCTTCTTTAAAATTAATTTTACATTTCTCTAATAGGTATCTCTGTCACATTTTGCAACTGATTAAAAAGTGCAGAGCAAGTTCTTCACTCTTGCATTCCATGGTTGTTCTTTTTTTCTTAAAGAGTAGGTTTTATTCAGTTAGACGGATATTTACAGAAAAGCCTGAAAGCACACAACCACTTAGGCTCTGTGAAAGCCCAATAAACATTTTGCTATTAAACTCTGAATCCATCATGTCTCCTTTTGTCTTTCCTAACAATAACATGCTAACACCATAAAATAAATGTAAACATCACCTTGTGAGGGAAGATGGAAGCAAGGTGAGAGTTGAAGAATCAATGTTAGGAAGTAACACTACAGCTGAAGTTTGAAAGTATGGCTCCTCTCTGTCAAAAGCCAAATCTGTACACAACCCCTCAACAATACCAAGGGTGGACAAGAGCCTTGAGGTCCCTCCCAAATCCAGGACTCCCTAATAGGGACCAAGTGAGGCCACAGAATCAGAGCTCACAAGACCATGACTGTCCCAACAAGCATTCCCAACCAGACAGGCTGTAAGCAGTGTGCGAGCTGTCTGTGTATACACTGAGCTCCAGGATGTGAAACAGAAGGGGATATCCATCACTTGGATCTGTCAGCCTTAGCAGTATTATTCATGCTAGTGCTACTCACTAGACTAAGTAACACGACTGAAACCAGAAGGATAAGATAGCACTGCTCATGGTCAACTTATAAACTCACTGGGTTAGGGAGGATGAAAGCCCTACTTGGCATCTGGTATTTGAGGAAAAAATGTGCTCAGTATGAGCATCAATCACACTTATAGCTCACTGTTTGCAGAATTGGGCTCTGAAAGGCAGCAAATATGTGGCGGTCAATGCTTACGCTGTAAAATTTAGCTACTCTTACCCTGCTCTATCTTTTTGGTCACAGGTTTATTTCAAAATGAGAGAATTATAATCTTCACTTTAACAGATTATATGTTATTTGTAGCTCTACTCTGTTAAACATTTTTTTTTTTAAGCATGCTGTTGGAAAATCTCCTCTTACAATATTTATAGCTCATTATGTTCAAAGCATAAAACATTGACTTTTAAATCTGTTGCATGACTTATAACTCAGCATCATGGTGGCATGAATAATAACGCTAAAAAAATCAGATTCATAATTTACTAAAATGATGCTTGATAGATTGAAAAATTGATATTTACATCAGGTATTTAAAATGGATGAATAAAAATTTTAATCAACATAAAAATATAATTTTGGGGATGTTAAGTAAAGGTCCAAGCATTTTTCATGTTTTACTGTCACCATTCATATTTAGTAAAAGTTTTTACATAGTAAAAGTTTTTACAACAATGCATATCTAAGTTAAATTATCTAAAATATATGGGAGTAGTGTTAGTTATAAACTGTTAAAATTATTAACCCTTAAAATCTTGAAAGTCCATGCAATGAAGTCACAAGCGCAGTGGGCTATAGATTTTGAACAAATTCCACATCCCTCAGTTCAATTACAGGTGATCAAAACACTTTGATGAGGCATGAACATAAAAATACCTCAGCAAGAGTGCTACAGTTTATTGTGAAGGGAACAGGTCTGGAATATTTTTATGGAATTCTACAGAGTACTCTCTGCATTAGTACAATGTACATATACACAGACAGACATATATAGTAATATGTACGCACACATAAACATAAAAAATGAAAACAGAAGTACGCACTTGGAGTACAGTCGTTATTATTATAACTGATTAGTCATGTGCAACTACAACCTGAAAGCCAGAGCTCTAAATTGAGGAACTGAATAAGTACAAGACAAAAAGACTCTGACTATCCTCACAGACCAGTCATATAAATATAGGACAACAGGTACATGCAAACAAAAAGGACAAGGGAACTCAGAGATGAAAGATGCCTGGATGAAAGGAGTGGTTCATGGGAGTGGCGAGAAGGCAATAGCAAATAATGATGAGGAGTCTATACTTTGCTCTGCTAATCTAGCTTGTACCCACATAGTGCAGAGATGATTTTTGTTCAGGTCATACTACTGTGGTTTATACTCACATTGTAAAGCAACAAATTCAAAGTACTGATAAATGTACCATTGTTCTCTCTTACAGAAATAGCAGCTGATGACCTACAACAGAAGCAGAAACCAAAAACCAGCATGAAGATATCTTTGTGTGTGTTTACATACTTCGTTGGTTTTTATCATTAAAAATGTCAATGAGTCATATCACAAGAAGTTAATTTATGCATTTTTGTTATAAACTTCAGAAATAGGAATTTATAGCTGGAGCACTGACAGAACCTTAACTATGAAGAAAGTAATGGATACTGTTGAAAACAAAAATTAGAAAAATAATTAGCAGAAAGGCAAAGTGACAAAAGGATCATGATGTATAAGGTTTAGCTACGGAAACATTTTATTTTGAACTCTATATTCATATGCTTACAAACTATTTCAACAAGTTCTATTTTTTTGCTGCCTCCATTTTGTCATCAGACAACCTGAGTTTTAAAGGAAGCTTTTCATTATTTAAGGCTTCAGGAAGGCAGCTCTTCATAAACTATGTTATCTCATACAATGATATTATAGCATTTTCTTTTCCTTTGTATCACCGCTTCTTTCAATGCTTTTTCCTCCCTCTTTACTCTTTGTCGTGGTTCAAGCCCAGCCGTCAACTTGGAACCACGCAGCCGCTCGCTCACTCCCCCCACCTCTTCCTTCCTCCCCCCCCTCC